GGGGGGGGGGGGAAACAGGGGACACAAAGAGAAAAGACCAAAAAAAAAGGTTGACCGTCGGCCAGAAACCACCCTTGATCCTCAGGTTTCTCCCTGGCCTGAAGAGGCGTTTTAACACAATACAGTGGCGCCTCGCAAGGCGAATGTAATTCGTTCCGCGAGAATCGCTGTCTTGCGAAAAAATCGTCTTGTGAGGTTCCCTATGGGGAATGAAATTTATTGATTTTGCGAGGTCTTGGGGGGGGAACGTCTTGCGAAGCATGGCCATAGAAGAAACCGTCTTGCAAGGCACCATAGCGATCACAAAAACCAATCGTCTTGCGGGTTTTTCATCCCGCGAGGCATTCGTCTTGCGAGGCACCACTGTAATTCAGCAAAAAAAGCTCTTTACCGTTGTCGCTAGGTGGGTAGCAGGGAGCTCGAGACTCAAAAACCCAAACGGATCCGTTGCCAACGGCCCTAGTCTCCCAGGAGAACCCAGTTCAGGGTTTCGGCGTCTCTGCTCTAAAGGAGTGGTTTCCCAAATCTGTGTTCCCCTCCCCCAAGATGTTCTTGGACTACCACTCCCAGAAGCCTTCACCGCTAGCTGGGCTGGCTAGGGTGTCCGGGGGTTGTCGTCTGGGGACCCACGACAGGGAAGCACCAGCACAGAAGGGGGAGAGAAACCCAGACCGTCGCGTCAGCTGCAAGGAAGGAAGCGAAACAAGCTGCCATCAGCACCTCCACCGAACGCTAAACGGTACCGTTTCGGTTTGCGGTGCAAGGCCCTTCGGGAGCTTCTTCAAAACCAGGGCTGAAATAAAACACGGGTGCGCAGTTGCGCCCCACTGCACGGAAATGTCAGGTTTAAAAGGGGACTGGGACCGTCAAAGCATCTCTCGAGACTTAAGCCGTGCAAGGGGGCCATCTCAAGACGAGGTTCATCCTTCGCTTGAAGGATGGGCAACGGGGTGGCCCTCTGGATGGACAGCTGCTCCCATCGTCCTTCACAAATGGCTAAGGCAAGGGCTGATGGGAACTGGAGTCAGCCTCGGGAGCGCCACGCCTGGCCTAGCTGTGCGAGACACTTGTTTTTTGCTTTGAACTGGGAGACTTCCCTTCATTTGAGCTCCTGAGTCTGAGAGACAGGAGGTCTGAGTCAAGCGGAGCATTTTATGACCTGCTTTTTTTCTAGAATTTTAGAAATCTCCAAGGGTGGCGGTCAGATTTGGGAGGCATGGGGTTGCCACAGGGCCAGACTCTCAATTTCAAACTTCCCCAGCCAAACACCCCACAGATATTATCAACGACACAGCCTGTCGGCTTCCACCATGGGAGAGCTACCAGCCCCAAACAGCTGGAGGGCCTCTGCTGAGGAAGGGCTCCTGTCGCCCCGAGAAGGGCCTGGCGTTAACCCTCTCTTGCCAGGGCTTAGCAAGCTTCCTTTCTTCTAGACCAAGGATCTGGTCAAAGGCTGCGCCGCCCCCTCTGAAAGGAGATGCATCTGACTGCAGGATCATCTCCAGTGTGTTGTTGGTTTATATATATAAAACACTTTAAATTCTTCAAAAAGAAAAACACGGGGTGAATCATACCCACCCCTCGGCCAGAGAAGCAGCCTTGAGGAAAGGGGACAAAATGTTCCATTGGTCTCCCTCCCTGGCAGAAGATACTGGGGGGGGGGTGTCTCGCCTCCAAGAACCTCTGCCTTCACAGGACCCTTTGGTAATATTTGGAGAGTGCCAGNAAGAAACAGAGCGGCCGACACAGCGGGGGGGGGGTGCTGTGGTCCCTGTCTGGGTCCATGGCTACGTTTACACCCACTGTTGGTCAGTCTATCATGCCTGCCTGTTTGTCTGCCTCCCACCCACCCTCAGCTCCTTCCTTCCTTCCATCCATATCAACATTTGGTACCAAGTCCCTCTTAAAAACAAGCTTCTTCCTCCCCCCCCCCCCGTCTGGTGACAGAGCCCTACTCTGGGCAGCTAACAGCAGGGATGCTGGCGAGGGGTTGGCTCTAAGTCTGAGTCTTTGGTACCAAGTCCCTCTTAAAAACAAGCTTCTTCCCCCAGAAAAAAAAGGACCGGGTGGGTGGGCTCAGAGTTGGTCCGAGTCACGGTGCGACTGAAGTCCGACTTGAGAGCAAGTCCCATGACTCTGGCTATCAGCAATAAAAGGGGATAACAAGCCACCCGACAAACACAAACACCCAGTTAATAAAAACGGATGGAAATCGCTCCAGAGGCAATGGCAGACAAAACCTCACGTCTCTGCAAAAATATTAAAAACAGGGGGGGGAGAGATGGTACCAAAGGCCTCTTACACAAAAGCTCAGCTTTCACCTGTTCCTGAACGCCTGGGGTGAGGGATCGGAGCAAGAGGCAGTGGAGGGCTGGGGGGCGGGAGAGCACAATGCCGGGCGTTAAGACGTTCGCCTTTCTGAGAGGGTCGTTACCTGGTCTTCCTGCCGGCTTGGGAAGTATAGTATCGGCTGCAAATGGTTTAGGAAGGTGGAGGCAGGCCGAGGATATGGAAGATAGAAGGAGACGTTAGGGCAGCCCCCCCACGGGGCCAGGTGTGCGAGGAGGTGGTGATGGAGGAGGGAGGGAGGAGGGAGATGGGATGATGGACCAAGGACGCTGGAACGGGAGAAGCCTTACCCAAGCTCGGGACGACCCGGAAGCAGAGGGGGTCCCGGCGCAAGCCGGGCGAGAACTTTTGCTGGGCCTGCGGGCGTGACCTGGACGCCACTCCGTGTCTCCATGCTTATGGGGTCGGAGGAGAAAGGGGGACCT